CCAATCCCTGCCCTGTTACATGATCTGGCTATTTTGATTTGTGACAGGGTCTCCTGTAGCCCAGGCAGGCCTTGAGCTAAGCCTGACTTGACCTTTAACTCCTGATCCTCCTTGCCTCTACCTCTTTAGGGCTGGGATTACAGGCAAGACATGTGTAACCAGCCACTCACAACTCTGGCTGAGCTTTCAGAAAGGGCGTGAGGAGGTAAAACTGAATAAACAGTAAAGTACAAATCAGAAAAGCACTGAGGACAAAAGGAGTAAGAACAAAATATCAAATCCATTCTGATAGGTAAGGAAACAGATGAGCATAATGGAAAATGATGGACTGATCAAAGCCTTAAAAACTACAGGCTAAAACTACATGCTGGTTCCCACAATGAAGAATCACTTGAAGGTGGAGCAAGGAGGATCAACTTCTTACAGGGATTATTCTGACTGCATGGGTGGGATTAGACCCAGCTACCAAAGAATATGAAAGGCAATGTATTTTCAGTTTATCAGTTAATTTCAAAGGGCAGAGAGGGAAATGTGTAGGGAAGCTTTGGGAGTTAGGGGATTGAAAAATAAAATGAGGGGGCTGGAGAGATGGCACTGAGGGCTCTTGCAGAAGACCCTGGTTCAATTCCCAGACCCCACAAGGCAGCTCACAACAGTCTGTAACTCCTGTTCCAGGGGATCTGACATCCTCACACAGATATACAGTCAGTCAAAACACCAATGTACATAAAACAAAAATAAGTATAAAAAGAAAAACAAAAGGCTGGAAAGATGGCTCAATGGTTAAAAGCACTGACTCTTCTTCCAAAGGACCTGGGTTCACTTCCCAGCACCCACATAGCAGCTCACAACTGTCTGTAACTCCAAGATCTGACAAGCTCACACAGACATACTTGCAGGCAAAACACCTGTATACATAAAATTTCAAAAAATAAATTAATTTTTAAAAAGAAAAAGAGCTGTAGCATTGGGTCTGTCTCACTCTAGTTAAACCTCATACCTGAAGGAAACTATGAATTCTGTGCCAGCTCCCTTGTCCAGACTTACTGTTGCTGGTATCCTGTTTCATTTAACACTACTATTTTAAATTTATATTTTAGGACTCACAACACTTTCTATGGTGGTAAAGACAAAAATACACAATGGATGTATAAGGTCCTAGGTTCTATCCCCAGGACTGTAAAAACAAAACAAAATACAATATCTCCCAAGAAATTCAGATAAGAAACAGTGAGGAAAAAGGAATGGGAAATCTCTGGTAATTCTAGGCCAGTCTGGTATACATAGTGTGTTCCAGGCCAGCCAGAGCTAAAGTGAGACCCTGTCCCCAAAATATAATCAAGCAACTGAACCCTGAGGTAGATTGATTCCCAGCTCCCTGACAAACCTCCACACTAACTTCTAGACTACTTGTACTTGTTGGTACTCCCACCAGCAATAAATAACCCTTTCACTGGCAGCATGCGTTATAATTTATTTTATTGACTTAGTTAAGATGAAATATCAAAGTAGTTTTAATTTACATTTCCCTGATGACTAAATATATTGAACATTTCTTTAAGTGTTTCTTATCTATGTTCATTGCTTCTCTACACATAATAGCCAGAAACTGAAAACAGCCTAAGTGCTAATCAGCTATTGAAATAGATAATGAAAATGTGGTACACTTACACAATGAAATATTACTTGGCTCTTTAACAAAAATGAAATTTGCAGGTAAATGGAAAACAGTCATCCTAAGTAACCCAGGCCCAAAAAAGAAAATACTGCATGTTTTCTCTTATATGTGGATGTCAGTTTTTACTCTTTAGAAATATAAGCTATATAGCCACAGAGGTTAAATACCTAGTAAAAGATAGAGTGGGATACAGTATTATGGAGAGATAAAGAGGAAGACAGAATAGTTAGTTCAAATGGGGAGAGAAATGGGAGAGCAGGATAAAAGAGAAAATATGGGGAGGGACAATGGAAGCTTTTTGAAAAGCCATATAGAAATCTGCTACTTTAGAAGTTTCCTTAAATATATAATCTATGAAAGTAATCAAAATGGAATCATATAATAGGGGAGACAAAACCCCAATTAGATATCTGTCACAAAACCCCAGTGCTGGAAATGTGTTACATCTTATGGAGTCATAGGCCAAATGGATCCCATAGACATGCCTGCAAAAGATAACAGACTATTACCAAAGCTTTTGGTTAGCTGCCACAACCTATTGGTAAAGCCCTAATGCTGAAAACACTACCTTCGTATATCATCAAACATGAAGAAATTGAGCTGATACCCAAATAGAAGCTTTACCCAGGCTCACTAGCATTCATGGTGATGGAAGGTACTTTACACCATATCAGAAAAGAAAATTAATCATCAATATCACCCAGCTACAAACCATGTAACCTATAATCTGCCTACAATGCATATTGGTGTTATTATTGAAGTAAACAACCACTTTTTTATTACATTTACCATGAGATAAAATCCATGATACTGTTTAAGTGGCCAAACACTTGAAATATGTAATGGACCTAGGAAAAAAAATCTACGACTGTTATTCTGATAAAGGAACATTGCAATAAACGGCTGCCAATGGCATATTGCTATACTAATAGATCAGGGCCTCACTCCACACTACTCAGAGAAGCTTTTTGCAATAGATGGTAATAACCCAGAGACCCACAACTGAACCATGTGCAGAGTGAGGGATTTTGGAGCACTCAGATCTAAATGGGATATCTTCATCAAACTCATCCATCCCCAAGTTTTAAGGATCTTTGCAGAAGGGGAGGAGGGAAGACTGTAAGGCAAGAGGCAGCATAACAGGAAGGATGAACATATAATCTCATGGAGACTGTGGCAACACAGAAAGACCTGTACAGGTTCAAGCTAGATGACGGAGAAGAGGACGTGGAATCCTACTCCTAACAAGAAGCTACTTGTAATCGATATCTCCTGGGAAAGTCAGTTCTCTCCAATGCATATATCTCTCCTGGATATATCAACCAGAGTCCAGGGCAGGCCCCTGGCCCAGAAATAGTTCACTAAGATAAAAAGGATCTGTCTATCTCTCTTCTCTCCCCTCACCTCTGTCTGTCTGTGTCTGTCAGTGTACAGACTTTTTTATTTATTTAAAAAAAAATGGTTTGTTTTGACTTTTGGTTGGTTGGTTCAGTTTTGTGGGGAGATTGAGAGAGAGAGACACAGAACACTAAATATAGAGAGAGGTGGAGAGGATCTGGGAGGAGTTGGTGGAGAAATGAAAAGCATGATCAAAATATATTGTAGGAAAAATTTTAAACATAAATAAACAAGAAATGGTACTTACAAGCCGAGCACAATGGCTCACACTTTTTTGTTTGTTTGTTTGTTTGTTTTTGTTTTTCGAGACAGAGATTCTCTCTGTAACCTGGCTATCCTGGATTCACTTTGTAGACCAGACTGTCTTCGAACTCACAGAAATCCGCCTGCCTCTGCCTCCACACCCAGCTAATGGCACAAACCTTTGATCCCAGCACTCGGTAGGCAGAGGCAGTCGGTTCTCTGCGAGTTTGGGAATCTTCAGTAGGTTTTTTAGTAAAATAAAGCAAGCCTCTGTGTTGAATTTTATTGTATTATCTATTTTGTGGTGAAACTGTAAACATTTTGTGTAAACTCAAAACACTAAAATGGAAAGAATGATGTATATTTCCTGAACAACTAGGTACTACATTCCAAAACAAAGCATGACACTTACTAGACCAGGAAGCTTTAGAAAAACGTAGGTAGTGATTGTGCTAAAGAGTAAAAACATTTTTTTCCTTTTTTTCCAATCTTAGAGATTGAACCTAAGGTTCAGATAGTAAGCATTCACACTACCACTTGAGCTTGAGAGGTGAGGGGTAAATTATATAGACTAAATTGGTGATAGCAGCACATAAATGTGAACATTTGGAATCCCTGGACTAGAGGGGCAAAAGCAGGAGGATTTCCTTGAGCTCCAGGCCAGCATCATGAAGAGTTCTTGGTCTGGCAGAACTACATCTAGTAAAACCTTGACTCTAAAATAACAACAAAAAAGTTTAAAATCACAAATTTTTTAATCATTGCATTTTTAAATTAGAATATTAGAAACCTCTGCCATAAAAAAACGGTGAAGCTCCCGCCTCCCATGCTTTTTAAGTGCAAAACTCAAGTGGATGAAATGAAGCAATAGGTGATAACCTAAGCCGACCAAGCCTATCAAAACCTCCTCCAGCAACTGTCCACAGTTCTAGCTTTATACGCAGTGCTAGGTAAATCACCAAGTGTAAATGCTCAGTGCAGAAAAAAAAAGAAAAATGAAAAAACACCTGCCCAAAGGCAGGACGTGAGAGCTTCCGCGCCGGGGGCTGCCTCTAGGGTCCACTCAGAAAGCATCAGAATTGAGTCCAGCCGCTTTCACTGCCGGGCAGAAAACACCAAGTTCCTGCCCGGGCTAGCTCTGCAGCTTTCCCCAAAGCATTCCCACCGCACAACTGCCCTGTCCCTGGTAGTTCACACGCTGCATCAAACTTGCATTTATTAAGCGCCCACTGTCTACCCTGCATCATGGCTCCTCCAGGAACTGCACAAAGAAATGGCCTCAGAAGACCGAGGAGGGAAAAACGAAAAGAGCATCTGCTGGGGCCAAGAACGAAGGCGAGTGAGGGGCAGGCTACCTGCTACCTCACGGGTCTGACATCCCGACCCCACGGAAGGCCCGGAGGGCGCACAGGCCGGGCCTTCCCGGCGTCGGCCAGTGTGCGGCCGGCGCCACAGACCACCCAGGCGCAGCAGTCCGGAGCAGCACCACCTCGGCTCGGCTCCGGGGAAGCCAGGCGAGCGAGCTCCCGAACCCGGAGAGCCAGAATGGGCTGTCACGGCCGCCTCCTCCCTCCCAGCCGACGGCAGTGCACTGCGGGGCGCCCAGGCCCGCGCCGCTTTCTTGCGAAGATCGGCAGGGGCCGCCACCAGTCCCGCTCGGCCCGGACCGAGAAGCGGTTACCTGCGCCGCGGGTGGAGGCCCAGACGCCACCCGAATGAAGAGGATGAGAGTGCGGCCTCCCCTCAGGGTTTTGGGATCTTTGGAAGACTTGTTCCGCACTGGGTGACAGCTGTTCGCTGCGCACGCGCACGGAGCGCCGCCGCGGGATCCCTCCGCCGCTTCCCCTCCCTCCCGGCCGCAGGGTGGGCGGGAGCCGCTCCGGCGAGCAGGCGGCGCAGGCTGCCTCTTCCTGCGTGTGGCGCACGCACCCCCACGTGACCGCTGGGCCCGGCGCTCTCTGGGTCACGTGAGCATCTAACCTGCTTAAAGGTGCCAGACACCTTACTTTGAGCCTAGACTTCCGCTTCTTGTTCGTCGAAGTTCCGTAGAAGGTTATTTCATTTTGCTTTGGGGCAGGCACATCTCTTCTTTCTCAAAGGAGAAAAAACGCTGAAGAAGCAGAAGGAACAGGTGCAAAGATCGCTGGGTTCTCACGAGCGGGACCTGAAATACTACGCACGGCAGTTCTGCCGGGACACTGGATGCAAGTCTTTGGCAACCCTCGGCCGCGCAAAGACGACTGATTTTTTTTTTTTTTTTTTTTTTTTTTTTTTTTTTTTTTACCTCGGTGGAGGCGGTCAGGAAGTCCCAGACCCGCGATGACATTGTCCTGAGCCAGTATTCCAACCAATAAGCCTGCGCCTCTGAGCCTCAGAGAGATCCCACCCAAGTGAGCACAAAGTTCTCAAATTCCCAGTAACCAGTCCGCCCCTGAGTTCAATTTCCACAAGCACATTGTGGCTCATAACCATCTATAATGAGATCTGGTGCTCTCTTCTGACCTGCAGGTGCACTTGCAGGCAGAACATTTATACGTAATAAATAAATAAATCTTAAGGTGGTAAGAGGGAGGGAAGGAGGAAGGAAGGAAGGAAGGAAGGAAGGAAGGAAGGAAGGAAGGAAGGAAGGAAGGAAGGAAGGAAGGAAGGAAGGAAGGAAGGAGTAAAAAGGCCTAACTCCTTAGCCTTGGGATTTCTGGGTGAGGGAGCCTGAATTTAAATAACTGAAAGTGCAGGAACTTCTGGATATGAGTTAGCTTGCTCCAAGTTTACGTAAATCCTACTTCCAAGATGGCAGAGGAGTCACAGACCTCAAACTCTTCCTACCAGATAAATGGCTGAACACTAAAATGTTTTGCAATGCTAAACGGTTTTTAACATCCACAGTTCCAAAGCTGGGGCTTTTGTTGCATCTCCTCTGATGACTAAGATTGACCAGGTATTTGCAAAAGTGAGCATACCAAGGCCATCATTTAACGTGTAGAGTTTTGTTACAAAGTCATTTCTAGTGAATGTGGTGGCACATACCTATTACTCCAGGACCTGGAAGGTAGAGGCCGGAGCATTAGTAATTCCAGGTCATCCTCAGCAGCACAGCAAATTTGAGGTTATCCTGAGCTGCATGAGAACACTGTCTCAAAATAAAAATTAATAATCACTTTTTTAAAAAAGTTTTAACATATCCACTGAAAACGACCTAGAATGTGTTTCTTTTTTATTAGAGGGAGCATTGTAAAGACATGGTTAATTAACATAAAGATAATGAGAGTGACCCAACATATTTCTTTGATGGTTGAAAACAGAGCTTAGGTTATGGGAAGAAACACAATTCTGAACCTGCCTTAACTTATGTAGCCAACTGGTAATTTTCCAAGACAATTGAATAAAACGAAAGATATATATCTTAAAATTTAGAGCGTTTTTTGAACAGACGTACCCAAGAATTACATGTATATTAACTAGATAGTTGAAATAGTTTAATGAATAAGTACTATTATTATCTTTGGTAAAATGCACAGATATTAACAAATATATGGTAGATAGAGGAAGACAGATCTCTTTTTTTTTAAGATTTTATTTATTCTTTATACATCATTCTTCTGTGTACCAGATCTCAAGCCACCATGTGGTTGCTGAGAATTGAACTCAGGACCTTTGGAAGAACAGCCAGTGTTCTTAACCTCTGAGCCATCTCTCCAACCCAAAACAGATCTCTTGAGTTTAAGGCCAACTTGCTCTACAATGTAGACCCTACATAGTGAGTTCCTGGAAAGACAGATGTACACAGAGAAACCCTGTCCAAAATAATTAAATTAAAATGAAGTTTGTTCACAGTTGAGTGAATTAAATCTGTCACAGACAAATATTTCATGCACTCATTTATAGGCCCTATGCATTTTACACACATAAACTCAACATACATATTAATGGTAGGAGAATAGAAGAAAAACAAAACTACTGAGAAAGAGAAGACTGAGAAGTGCAATCTTTGAAGGTATGCTTAAACCATATACTTATATGAAAATAACTTTAGTCAACTCTGTATAACAGAAATAAAAATGTCAAGTCAGGTGGTGGTGGCAGTCTAAATACAGTTAGATTTCTGAGTTCAAGGCCAGCCTAGTTTACAGGCTGAGTTCTAGGACAGCAAGGGCTACACAGAGAAACCTTATCTCAAAAACAACAAAACCAATTTCTTTCAAAGCTTGCTTGGGATAGTGCCACAAGCCTTTATAGTGTCAGAACTTGGCAGGTGGATCTCTGAGTTCAAGGGCAGCATGGCTATAGGTCATTTGGAGATATATAGTAAAACCCTGTCAAAGAAAGAAAGGAAGGAAGGCTAGAGATGGTTCAGAGGTGAGGAGCTGGCTGCTCTTCCAGAGGTCCTGAGTTCAATTTCCACAAGCACATTAAGATGGCTCATAACCATCTATAATGAGATCTGGTGCTCTCTTCTGACCTGCAGGTGGACTTGCAGGCAGAACATTCTATACGTAATAAATAAATAAATCTTAAGAAGGAAAGGAAAGGAAAGGAAGGAAGGAAGAAAGAAAGAAAGAAAGAAAGAAAGAAAGAAAGAAAGAAAGAAAG